TGAACTGGGCATTAGCTTAGTGCTGGACCTCAGTTGTGTTACTTTGCTAATGTTTTGTTGCCTATGGTTACGCCCTTGTTATCAGCACTTGATGTTACTTTCCTTAATGGCCTTGTAAGTCGCTTTGTACTAAAACATCTGCTAAATAAATACATGTGAATGTGATGACAGTTCCTCTGATGCAGGATGAATTTTAATTAAAGGATGAAGAAGAGCTTTAAAAACACCAGCAAGCTGTAACTGCCAGTACGATTTTTCCATATGTAGAGGTGACCTGATGCTCCAGCACAAGATAGATTTAATTATATCGCAGTTGTACAATAGATGAAAAAGTATGGATGCACATTCCAATTAGGGACTGAGTAAGAGTATGAAAATCAGAAGGGGTGTTGTTTTTTATTGATATTTGGATATCAATTTGAATATGCAATGCATTCACAGTAAATTAAACAAGTTCTTAATAGCATCATTAAAACAAATCTAACAAATACAGTAATCAAATGTAGCAATTAATATTGGTTTGTAGCTAATAAACATATTACTTTGAATTGTATTAAAGACTCTGCTCTGAATATGCAGGGAAAATGTCTAGTTAAACATACCAAACATGTATCCATCAGTAATTTACATCTATCTTACATCTATGTTAGCTGCTTCCAACCAACCCCTTTTTCCAGCTGATTTAAATTTCAACACCATGAACAGAACAGAAACATTTCTTTTTTCATAAAAGTGTTCCTTTGGCTCTCCCTCTGTTCTTAGGTTTTGAGGTTCTCTTTCACGGTGGCTGCTTCATCACAGTCCAACATGACAAGCCCTGATGTGAAAGAATGATCGTTATATATACAGCACCTTTCATGTCTCTCAAGAGTCTGTCACAGTGCTTTACAGTGAGTGGGTCAGGTTAAGGATGTAGAGTCAACGATTTACCATCCAATTACACTCGGTTTGCTACCTACACTTTTACTACTGCTGAGTACAAAGCTTGCAGGTCTCATTAATGGCTTTAAATGAGTCTTTGAACCCCTTGGAATGACCCCCTTCAGAAACGCAGTTTGCCAGCATCTTTTACCTACTGCTGTTTTTACAGCCTCTCTGGCACACCTTTCTTAATAAAATATGAAAACTACCACTTGTAGCGAACCCAAATCCATTTTGCCCATTGTAATGTGTTAGTTTGCTTTTTAGACACTCTTAATCCACTTTCTTGATAAAATATGAAACCTACCACTTGTAGTGAACCCAAATCCATTTTGCCCATTGTAATGCGTTAGTTTTGCTTTTTAGACACTTAATCAGACCAGCTTACATGGCTAACATTAAATATGTTATTCATTTATACAGCTGGGTAATTATTGGACCAGCTGAGGTTATTGGAATTTGCTAAAGGGCACAACAGCCATGCCTCCAGTCAGGATTCAAACCAGCAAGCTCCTAATGGTAAGTTCCCTACCTGCCACACCGTCAGCTTTTGTGAATTGACTCTGATGAGCTGTGAAGAGCTTCAGTAACCTACAGTTCTAACCCATATGTTTGCTGTGCCTTAAGTATGAAGCCTGCTCTGCACCCAAACCACCAAAAAGAGAAGCCTAACCACTGTCCAATAAACCAGAGAGGTTTATACAGTCATAATATGGGTCAACAAAAATGTCAGGCTTTTTTTTCCCCTGCAGAGCAGGGTTGCCAGATCCGTTTCAGTTGCGGGCCAGCCCACGTTTTCCCAAAATCAGCTTTTCCCCAATTGTCCCTGTAATTAGGGGTAGAACTTTCCATGCTCATAAACACAGCCACAACTACCCAAAACGTTTGCGTGCAGATGGGGGGATGGGGTGAAGGGTGGGGATGGGGGTGGAGCATTGACACAATTGCAGCTGATTACCCCAGAAAAACATTCGGGATTACGGTCAACAGTCATGTAAGACTGAGGAGTGGAAAATGTGTTCAACAGTTTAGGCTTGGAGCTGGCCTGGTAATTTCAGCTCCAAGACCAGGAGTCATGCTGCATAATCTCATTCCATGAAAACACGTGTTTCTCAAGTATAAGGATGACCATAAGGCTGCAGGCTTGAATCTCAGTACTGCTGTTGCCTTCTTGAGCAAGGGGCCTCACCCAATTACCTTCTGTAATCTGCAAACAGATAATGTAATATTGACAGTATGTTGTGTGTAGTATAGATTTTACACATTCAAACATGCTACTACGAGCAGCATTCTGAAGGGAAGGGAACCATTTTCTCTGGTAACTGGGAAATAATTTTTCTCTTGCCAATGTGAACATTCTTTAGAGTTGAGCACAGCATAAGGACTAAACACTGGGTTAAAGGGGAGCACACAGTGGCTGATCCCATTTGTGCCAGAAAACCAAAGGCCACAGTGGCCCATAGCCAGGATGTCCAGTGGGAGGCCGTGGGATTAAGAGGCCAGGGCAGGGTTCTCTCGTATTAAGTCACAGGCCATAAGGCAACAGGTTGCGATTACCCAACAGACAATTAGCTGTGATGTAATACAGCAACCTCACCCTCACCCCTGCTTGGGATGTCCTAACTATCCTCTCAGATTCCCATGTGCTCTCACACTCAGCGTGTGCTTCCCCTCCCTCTCCTGTCCCTCGGGAACCACACACACACTGTCACATGACCTCCAGGGAATTGTGGGTACCTCGGATAAAGGACAATGACCTCTGAAATAGTACACGAAGAAACCACTGCACAGGAATTGGTGGGTGGAATGAACAAACAAAAAATGCAGACAAATAAACATTTGCAGTGTGTGTACAGCCTTGAAATGGTTGTAAAGAAGTAACTTGAAAGAAGATGACAGTAAAGTATGAGAAAATACAATAAGGGGAACAGGCCCCAGACAATATTTATTCCTCAGTTGTTTGTAATCTGGACTGTCTATCACCATGTTGAGTTTGGCTTTTTTTCTAACCCAACTTCACATCCCACCAACATATCCAATGCATTTATGACTCTTTCCCTGTCCAAAAGTCATTAATATAATCCCTAATAGTAAAATGCTCAAGGCTCCGTTACTTTTCATGCAATTCACATTAACCCAACTGGCCTGTAATTGTCTGGATCCATGTGATCCATTTTCTTACACAGTAGTAAATTGGTATTGACCTGGAATTCATCTGTGACTGTGTAACAGGTTAGGCCTAAGTAACAGTTTGTAACTGTGTAACAGGCTGTGACTTTGTAACAGGATGTACCTGTGCAGCAGTTTGTGACTATGTAACAGGCTGTGGCTGAGTATTTGGTTACGGCTGTGTGACAGGTTGTGAGTGTGGAACTGTAACAGATTGTAACTGTGCAACAGTCTGTGATCACGTGACAAGATGTAGCTGTGTAACTGGTAACGACTGTGTAAGAGGTTGCTTTGCTATGGGTTGTTTTCTCCAGTTCCACCTGCTTTTCTGTTGCCTCCTGCCATTCTGGTCTGATCGGCCAGGCATGTGAAAAGTGGGTCAGCATCACTCGACTTGTGTCCAGAATGAAAAGCTTCATTCCAAGAGTTACGTGACTCAGATGTGAAACAGCACACGTGAGACATAAAACTGCAAGCAGAGTGAGAGTCCACGCACAAGCCAGCAAATGCAAAGTGAGTGAATAATGTAGTGATCATTCATGGCCTAGGACCTCTTGGCACGATGGGTATTCTGGGTTTCCAGTGTTTATGTCTGTCTGTGTGTTTCTGTAGCGGCGGTCATCAGTGTCTGGTAAACACTGCTCAATACTGTAGCTGCTGTGGGTGATTGTGACAATTCATGACAAGTCTGTCCGGCCCTGAGGGGCGGGTGCCTTCCGATGTGTGGATGATGGGAGAAGAGCCATCACAGCTGGTGATGCCCCCTTCTGTAAGCACCGGGGTCCCTGACTTGGAAAGTTCACCCCTTCTCTGGCTGCCCTGTTTCCACTAACCTGGGGGGTGGCCCTGCCGAACTTCAAAGGGAGATTCTATCAGGGAATGTGCTTTGTATAAAATTTCTCTGGTTTCCTCTGAGCAGCTGGAACCTCCTATCTCGCAGTAAATTCTCTCCATCTTGAAAAGGCAGCTGTGTGGTGTTTGGATCCCTCCCTCCATGACTGGCTTTTCGTTCACACTCTGGTGTTTTTATGATCTCTGTTATCTCTCTTTTTCTCTGAAATGGGAGGATGTGACAGAGCAGCTGGGGACACGTCCTCAGGGCCACGGTGTTGCCAGAGCTCTAACCCCTAATACAGAGATGTGACTCTCATGCTGAAAGCACCGTGGGTCACGGTCATGGCTCTTCTGGTGGCCTGACCACATGTCAGGGTGACCCCCATTAGACAGAACACTGTCTGGAGAATTGGGCTGCAATGAGAACAGCTTAATTGGGTGCACCCCACTTTTCAAGCCTTTGTATGTACAAGTGAAGTGGACGTAAACATGATCTGGCCCCTCTGTCCTAGAAGGGGTGGGGTTTTATGCAACAGCGCTCCATTTGGGTGCAGAAACTCCTAGCGATTCCACAGGCGATGCAGGAGTGAAGGCTGTGCACCTATTCCCAATCTGAAGCAGAAAACAATCAATCCTCACCATGGAGAAGAGATGAAAGACAGTTTAATGACAAAGCTGGGGGAAAATTCACACAGCCTTGCCAATATGGCCTAAGAACAAGAGAACTCCCTCAAAGAGCAAAACAAACACGCAGGAAATGGAGAAGAGGACACTGGACACTGAACAAAGAGCAGCAGTGGGCGGGGCTGAGTCAGGGACAGGGGTGGGGTCACGGGCTGAGGGCAGGAGGTGCAGAGAGATATCATTACATCATCTCATCTGCAGCTGGATCAGAGCGTTGCCAGTTAGCGTGCACTCCAAGAGGAGAGGTACTGTCAGCAGGGTGGCTGTAGCGGTGACTCCATCAGGGACTGACCATGCTCCAGCTGGAGCTTCACACAGAGTGCAAGGTTACAAGTTCAAAAACAATAAAGCTACTGAAACTGCCCAGAAAGCAGTACAGTAGACTTTCACTGTACCAGGTTTGGGGTGTGAACCTACTTGGGCATAAATCCATTAGATCATAAGTCCACTGTCTTAACCACTTGGCCATCCTGGTGCATGTATCATTTTGATTTTAAGGCAAAACATGGCAAATATGAGTGACAGAACTCCACAATCCACAATGCTTGTAGAAAAGGGCCACATGTTTTTGTCTTTGTCTGTGTCTTTGTCTTTGTTTGCGCATCACCCCCACCTCTCACAGGCACTTGTTTACAACGAAACCTGCCCAAACCGGTCCTGCTGCTCCCCTTATCAGCAGGACCCCCACAGGTAACCCGAGGCACAAGCGCACCCCCAAGGACAGCCCCCAGGTCACCATTTGCCCTCTGACCTGTCCGTATCCTTTGGCCACCAATAAGAACTGCAACAGGGCCAAGGATACGGGACAATATAAAGTTAGTGGTGACCTCCCCCACCTCAGTACCACACCAATACCCACAGAATGAAGGACTGAGGAGACCAAGCCCTTGAGGACCAAGCCTATTGTGTTGTTGTTGTGTGTGTCTGTGCCTGAGAAACCACACACCTTCAACACACACACATTCAAACAACCACACACACCTTCCAAAATCCTCAATAAAACCCTGAACCCGGAACCTGACTCCTGTGTCCTGACCGACACCCCACTGTGACAGCAAATTAGCCTGAACCTAGTTCCGGGTGAAACTGCCCCCTCAGTTTCAATGCTGTTAAAACCTTCTCTGTCACTTACTTCTTGAAATTGGTGGTCTGATTTTTCCTTCGCCCAAGTGCTGCATTTCACTGCTCTCAGACTGGGATTTAGCAGCTCCTTTCGTCACGCAAGCTTTAAATCACAAACCCCCCCCCCCCAGGAGCGTGGACCCCTCAGCAGTCCCACTCTGGGGCATGACCATACCTGGCCAGAGACCACCACAGAGAGAAATACATCACAGGGCCTTCTTGGATGCAGGCTGAATACAGAGGGGGCATTTAATATATCAACATTCACGCATGTGAAATGGACTCCTTGTCTAAATAACTGGGTTAGACTGGGGAAAAGGAGGGAAATGAAATGGTATATAGGGATGGCTAACTTTTCAACAGCTGTCTTCACTATTATGAAGCACACAGGGGGGTTATAGCACACACAAATGTACACACGCATATCCACAATCCACACACACACATATTCACTCACAGCAACTAACAGTGCTGTACCACAGCTGAGAACTCATGTGTTGGGAAAAACCTCAGAATGATGCTTCATTGTACTGCTTTTTACTGTGACATTCATCCCCGTGTCACAATGCTATGATGCCTGAAGTGCCGAGTGGCTCAGGCAGCAAGGCATTCAGAATGCAGGCTGAACCCTAAGGCCTAAATTTGAAACCAGCCGGTAGGTTGGCTAGGATTTCACCACTCTTAGGTATCCTACAAATTGTCAGGCCCCTGTAAGTTGCATGGATAATGTCAGTGAAGTGGCACCTACCCTCCAATCAGAGCCCACTTCATTGTGGTGCACCATGTGACTTTAAGTGGGGAAAATAGCTGTCATCTGCAGGTGAGCGTATGGGAGGCTTGCATTTGCAACCACTCCTGCAGTGTTGTTGCAGTACACCAGGATGGCAAATAATTGTTCCAAACTGATTCCAAAGCAGAGCTGCATAAACGGAGAAAAGCATTAAAAATGTTTTATTGGTAACTACCCTTGCTTTTATTTTTTCGGAAATTGTATTTTTCATTTTTTATTCATCTGAACTATTTAAATATAAATATTTACATAATGTCATATGCAATATGAAAATAACATACTTTTGTTACATAACTTATGTATTTAAACTATCTCATAGCTTGAATAATATAATAATAATAATAATAATAATAATAATAATAATAATAAAATTGTCAGTGGGTTTGATGGGTTAGGTGTTTGGGTTTGAGTGGTGGTGCAGGACACGCAGAGCCCTGACTGAAGCAGTTTCACTGTCTGTCTCCAGTGCTTCTGTGATCCGTCATGGAACCAATGACACACAGATATTCTGTCTTTAACTGCCAGCTTCGGCTCCACCAATCAGAATGCTCCAGCCCCCATTAAATTGAAGTGAATGCCACAGAGATGTCCTGAGGCCTTGTCAGTTGAGGCTTGTCATGTAAATGTCAAAGTTTTCATTAAGGTCTCATTCTGAATGAAGAGGGTGTGCATTTTGTCTGTATCCATACGTCATGTACTCTGAGTCCTTCAGCAAAGGCCCTCCACCTGGGTGTCTTATGATGCACGTGTTTGAACTTGGAAATATGTATACAGATGAATGAACAGTATCAGTATTAAAAATATGTAAATAATAAGCAGTGTGATTGTAAGAAAAAAGATTCCCACACAATTATACAACTCAGAACATGATCACAAATTAACACATGACATAATTATTAAAAGATGAAGACTCACCATGCACTTTCAAACACATGCACAAGCACACAGATGAACACATGAACGGTGTCAATTGAAACAACCTTGGCAAGGGTTTAAAACAAGACAACTGAACTCTCAGATTCTGCCACAGTTCAGTGGTCTGTTGGTCTAAACCCCTGCCAGAGTCATGGCAGTTGACCTGTACAGACACCCTGTTTGGCATGGCATGGGTGCATTTTGTTTGGTTAAGTGTGAGCATGCTGCAAGCACTGGGCTCAAAGCGCTGGCCTCTGAGGTGCCCAGATCCTCAGACACTTTGGCCCTGGCAGGGATCAGGGTGTTTCAGGAGGATTGAGGTGGCGGAAGAAAAGAGCACAAGTAGGGATTAACACAGTAACAGCAGTGGGCTCCACTGGGATCATCCCATGCAACTCCATGGGGCATGTGAAAGCTTTTCTACATTCACTCTTCAGTACACACACACACACACACACACACACACACACACACACACACACACACACACACACGCACACACACACACACACACACACACACACACACACACACGATCACACATATGCGTGCACACACGCACACACACGTGCACACACATACACAAACATGCACACACACACACACACACACACACAAGGTGTTGATGGGAGCGCTAGCTGCTCAGACCTGCAGCAGGGCAGAAGCGTGACCAAGCGCGACCAAGCGTTCAGCGGAACTAGGTGGAGATCCAAACATGCGTGTGTTTGCCTGGCGCCTGGCTCGGCTCCACGTTCCACAGAGGTGCGCGCTGTCAGTATTTTTAGAGTGGCAGCAGCCTGCAGAAGCAAGCATCCCCACAGCACTGCAACACAAACACGCCATGTGTGTGTGTGTTTTTTTCTCAGAATGGCACTCGTGGGTTGCCATGGTGACAGGGGTTGGAAGGTAAAGCTGAAAATGGCCAGTGTGTGTTATGCTTTTCCTCTCGCTCTTACATGAGGTGGGCTTTATCAGTGCATACATCCTCTGAATCAAGTCTTTGGACTGCTCCTGCCTCGAGCCGGAGCCCGGGGGGGGTGAACGCGGTGCACGTGGAGGATAAACACAGCCAGCATGCTGAAAAACCACAGGATTTCTTCAGGGACGCGGTGCAGGAATGATTCAGCGCCTGCCCGTGACCATATGTAATTAACTGCTTTAGGTAGGTAGCAATAAAACTGTATATATTCCTGTTCCGAATTCCTCCTTTGCTCGGGAGAGCTGGTTTTATCGCCGCCGCTCGGCTAAGCATTGTGATTGTCGTCCTGTCTCCTCCTCTGGCTGCGGCTTTGTGGTTCAGCCCGTGCTGGAGGTGGACCACAGTGGAGGAAGACGTTGTGGGAGGAGGAGGGTGGGAGGAGGGGGTTGGTGGGGGTGGTGGGGTGGTAGGGTCACAGGGATTGAGATGGGACCCGGAGCTTCACGCTCAGAGAGGCTCCTCGTGTGACAGAGAGATGAGGAGCGCATGCCAGCAGTAGGAGGCTGGACGTTCCAGAATTGCTGCTGGAGAAGCCCTTAATTTCAGGGTTCTGTTGAAAAAAAAAGGAGGAAAACGAACCCATGGAGTCTAAGAAAAGAAGTGTACAATCACAATCAAAAAAACTGCAGCCTGTAGGGCAATACAGAATCAACTGAAGCATTTAGAAGCCGACCAGAATCATATAAAAGCAAACGACCAACTGTAAAGTAAAATCACCAATATAGCATACAGCACCAATAAAGTGTATTGGAAAGTGAAGCTTAATTTTGTTAAATTTGGGATTGTGTTTCAGGGTAGATAAAAGGAGGAGGAGTTTTGGAATCTACCCAGCACCACCCAGAATGTGCACATCACGGAGGATAGTCATGATAAAAATGCGCATGTTGACTCAATGTGGTGTGTTCTGGTCTTTTCTGAAAATATAAATTCCTGAGAATCTCCTGTAAAACATTTTCATGGAGATTAAGACATCAGTCATTTTTATTGAATCTAAAATTGCTTTACTGACAAAGCAGTTGAATGTATGGAGCCCCTATGGGAACTTGCAAAGTCAAAGTCAACTCAAAGTCTTGAGGGCATGACTTTTTTTCTTTTTACTCTCCTGACACTTTTTTCAAAGATCGTGACACAGTGCCATGTTCTTAACACAAAAGCCTAAACCGAGCTACAAAATGTCCTCCTTTTGGCTCATCCTCTTTCCTTCACTCACAAAAACCCTCATCAGCTCAACTTTTACTATCATTTAAGGCCCTATTTCAAACGCTGAATGTTAATCTGACAAAATAATTACATTATGTGGTAACAGCGCTCATTCTCACAAATGTCTTTCTCTGTGTGAGAAAGCAGAGCAGCAAAATTATAATGATTGTATTATAACTTAAAAAGCTTTAGGGAACCAGCAGCAGTTTGTTACAACATGGAGCAGTTTGCAGAATTTGTTGGTCATGGTTTTGGTCAACAACCAGGAACGTACTATGATCCCAGACAAAATAAGGGCAACTATAATTGACCGCACAATAACTAAATCTCTAAATCTTTAACTGAGCTGCTGGCAGATACGACCCAATCTACTGCAAAGAGGTCAACTGTTCTCACAATTTTCCATAATTTTCTGAACTGAGAACCTGTAAAATAAAGTGTATGTGGAAATGGATGACAATGCATGTGC